TTTTTAGTTGTGGGGTCAGCATGTCCTTCTACCTAGCAGTTCCCAGTATTTTTAGTTGTGGGGTCAGCATGTCCTTCTACCTAGCAGTTCCCAGTATTTTTAGTTGTGGGGTCAGCATGTCCTTCTACCCATAGTTCCCAGTATTTTTAGTTGTGGGGTCAGCATGTCCTTCTACCTAGCAGTTCCCAGTATTTTGAGTTGTGGGGTCAGCATGTCCTTCTACCCATAGTTCCCAGTATTTTTAGTTGTGGGGTCAGTATGTCCTTCTACCCATAGTTCCCAGTATTTTTAGTTGTGGGGTCAGTATGTCCTTTTACCCATAGTTCCCAGTATTTTTAGTTGTGGGGTCAGTATGTCCTTTTACCCACAGTTCCCAGTATTTTTAGTTTTGGGATCAGTATGTCCTTTTACCCATAGTTCCCAGTATTTTTAGTTGTGGGGTCAGTATGTCCTTTTACCCACAGTTCCCAGTATTTTTAGTTGTGGGGTCAGTATGTCCTTCTACCCATAGTTCCCAGTATTTTTAGTTGTGGGGTCAGCATGTCCTTCTACCCATAGTTCCCAGTATTTTTAGTTGTGGGGTCAGTATGTCCTTCTACCCATAGTTCCCAGTATTTTTAGTTGTGGGGTCAGTATGTCCTTTTACCCATAGTTCCCAGTATTTTTAGTTGTGGGGTCAGTATGTCCTTTTACCCACAGTTCCCAGTATTTTTAGTTTTGGGATCAGTATGTCCTTTTACCCATAGTTCCCAGTATTTTTAGTTGTGGGGTCAGTATGTCCTTCTACCCATAGTTCCCAGTATTTTTAGTTGTGGGGTCAGCATGTCCTTCTACCCATAGTTCCCAGTATTTTTAGTTGTGGGGTCAGTATGTCCTTCTACCCATAGTTCCCAGTATTTTTAGTTGTGGGGTCAGTATGTCCTTTTACCCATAGTTCCCAGTATTTTTAGTTTTGGGATCAGTATGTCCTTTTACCCATAGTTCCCAGTATTTTTAGTTGTGGGGTCAGTATGTCCTTTTACCAATAGTTTCCAGTATTTTTAGTTGTGGGGTCAGCATGTCCTTCTACCCATAGTTCCCAGTATTTTTAGTTTTGGGATCAGTATGTCCTTTTACCCATAGTTCCCAGTATTTTTAGTTGTGGGGTCAGCATGTCCTTCTACCTAGCAGTTCCCAGTATTTTTAGTTGTGGGGTCAGCATGTCCTTCTACCTAGCAGTTCCCAGTATTTTTAGTTGTGGGGTCAGCATGTCCTTCTACCTAGCAGTTCCCAGTATTTTGAGTTGTGGAGTCAGCATGTCCTTCTACCCATAGTTCCCAGTATTTTTAGTTGTGGGGTCAGCATGTCCTTCTACCTAGCAGTTTCAAGTTTTTTTTTTGACATATAAGGTCACCATGTTCTTGTACACCGGAAGGTTCACGTATGCGTCATTTTAAATGAATTCTATTAAAATCTAACAAGACCTAATCGATGATTAATTTATTTTTAAAAATTATACTGGTTATATTATATTACATCCCAATACTAATTAGCAACCTTCCCCTCTCCATTTAACTCATTGTGAGGGTCCCCATGGCCCTAGGTGCACCTATTCACCTTGATCGATCAGGCTTGTTATCGATCTCCCTATCCAGGTAGCAATACAAACCAATCGGTCTTTTTCACGCAGACACCATCAAATAGAATAACAAGCACATGATGTGAAAGTTGAAATTGTCTTCGGTAATTTTATTAGAATTTAACAAACACAAAAATTGAATGACAACGAATTTTTTTTATGGAAAAGTAAAAGACAACATGATCGTCATAAAATCAATTAATTAATTGTTTAATTAATTAACCTATTGTCATGTGATTTGTATGGAAAAGAAAACCACAGAGTATTTACACTGGCACCCCATAATTGCTCACGACTACACACCTTGTGTCAAGCTACACATTTGATGTCAGGTTTACTACACACAGTGGTTGATACATTCGATTGAACAGCATCATGTATTGACCCATTTGTACACACGCACACACATGCACACACACACATGCGCACACAAATGAACACACACACATGCACACGCACATACGGATACATACCTTGTAGCAATCACGTTCACTTAGATTAACACACACACACTCTCGCTGTAAAACACTCACACCTGACAGATACAACATTCCTTGACATGCTTTCCGTATGTACGACATAGTCTCTTAACAAGAGATTATGAGTATGTTCATAAAAAACCAACACATTAAAATGGCAATACAAATACGACTCAAAACCTACTCAAATATCAATAATAAACAATAATAAATAAAACAATCTTTTTATTTTTAATTCATTTCAAATAAAATCAATTGAAGCTTTAAGTGAAAATATTTCATTCCTTTCTCAATGATCACATTTTTTGGTCTACCTTTGTGAAATAATCAATGTCTTACTGGGTGTGAATTAAGAAAATGTGAAATAGTTTATTGGATTCGACTTGAAAAAGATTTCGTAAAAAAATGTGGTAAAATACAATCCTGCATGGTAGGTGGGGGGGATGAGGGGGGGATGAGGGGGGGATGAGGGGGGGGGGGGGTTTACAGGGGTGTTTGGGGAGAGGGGGGGGGGGGTCTGTAAGAAAGATTATAAATTCGATCAGTGGCGTGCAATTGCCGGTATAGGATTAAAATGACGGGCTGTTATTTTAATTAGTTTGATAATTCGATGTTCTCATTTGGTGATTTGTCAAATCAAAGGTACAAAATATGCCTCCAGTTAGGATGGATATTTAAAAAAAAACCAAGTACACTTAATTCTCGTAAAACTTAAGAGTGCTCGACAAGGCTCCAGTTGGCACTGGTGAAATTAGGCAAACACCTCACACAAGCGAGGTCAAAGGTCGAGCAGGTCAAATGGCACCAATCAGCGAGCAATAGGGACTAATGCAGACATCCAGGTAAATCTAGCAGTAATCCAATCCACGGATGACGGATTCAATTTGTGGAGTATCCACATAGATCCACACACATTCAGGAGCCGGATATCCATATATATCCATACATATCCACCCATATGCTCAAAAGAGAGATCACGACAATCCATAGTTTCTTTTCCCATGACGAATTTGTAATAAAACATACGCACAACTTTATACATTACCAATACCAGCATGCAAGGTAACACCACATATATACACGCACAAAATATTTCTTTACATATACACAAACTTTAACTTTAATCACAAATATACACGTTTCTTGCATCGCTAATACATCACAAGTAAGCTTACATCTCAAATACATCACATGTAAGCATGCTTTTGAAATATCCATACACATAGAATATTACAACGAAATCTTCCACACATAACCTTGCGTCAGTTATCCTCAATTTGTTTATTTTTTTCACATTATTACACACACTAAAAACTATGACACAAGTTTTATTATGTATATAACAAACCTTTAACAAATAAAGAAATAGCTTTTCAACTGATATGCAATTATACCCATAAAGGCAAAAATAGTTTTCAGAAAAATTCAAAATCGCATGTTTATTAAAAAAACGTATTTGACCGTACAAAGATAAACTCAATGGTCAAAGAGTTTCGAGTCTGCAGTTAGTTAAATACATTGTGTAAAAAAATATTATGAAAAACGACTCAATCCGGTAAGAAAGCGAAGAAAAATAATAGCAATTCAATTTCTAATAATCGAGATTGAGCATATTTCAAGAACATATATTTTACGTGTTATGTGATTTTACTCATTTTAGCCTATGTCTTTATACCACATACACTTGTGAAACATTTGTAATAGCAGTTGGCAAACAGGGTAGGGCGGACATTTGTTACTTCATAGCCACCGCCCACATTGTGAAGTCAACGTGAGAAAGTATCACTTCAACGAGGTGAGAAAGTATCACGTGAAGAATTATCACCCATAATAGGTGGGAAAATATCGCTTAGGCAAAGTGACAAAGTATCACCCAGAACAGGTGAGAATGTATCACCTAGACAAGGGGAGAGAGTATCACCTAGAAGCTACTATATCAAATTTTAAATAAAACTTTCACAAAATAGTTATAATAACCATAATGAAGTCAAAATGATTATCTTGGAGGATCTAATTACATATTCTTTTGATGCCGTTGTGTGTGTGTGTTTTTGATGATGTGTTTATGTTTTGGTTAGAAAATTGTTAAAGATCTGAAATCAGGCAACAACACTCACGGGGTAAGCAACCTCTGTTCGTCGCTAAGGGCTGTTTCAAGTGGGGGGGGGGGGGGGGGGGGGGAAGAAAGGAGGGAGATAAGATCTTGGTTTTTACATATTTTAAAGTACATTTTTTATCCTTTGTTTTCTGTACTGAAAGAGATTCAAAATTTACAAAAAAAAAAAATTGAAAGAAGAATTAACACATGATGTTGATATTTAAGACGTAGTTCTAATAAGAAATAAAAGACCAGTACACAGTACACGCACAAGGCACGTCAGTTTCAAGTCCTATGTAACCTAAATGTGGCTGAAATAATAGCTTACTTATGCTCGCGTAATTTTTTTTTTCATCACGTCTGTGGTTATTAGTGTATTACAGTTTATTTCATCAAAATAAAAAAAGCATATAATCAAAGAAAAAAAGTCAAAATTATATTACATTGTTTGTTCATTTACTTGAGAAGTAGGTCTACCCCCCCCCCCCCCCTCCACCACCCCCACCCCCACATTATGATGCTAGATATTCGACTGCAAAATGTTTATCCAATCTGTAATTGATGCTTGTGATTATCAATTGGCTCGTTGCATAGCAACATGACCATCGTATCGTGTTTGATTTTTTATCCTGGAACTTTCGGGAACATTCAACAGCAATTTTCGCGGATAGATGTGGCTTGTATCTTGAACACAACATTTTGTATCATCTACGTGCACTTTGTCAGGGACTGTCTGCACATAAGACTGCAGTCCAGAATTCTACCCCCCCCCCCTCCGCCCACTCACACTTCTATAAAGCTGGGGTTAAGTGGTATACAGCTACACACTACATACTAATACCCAGGAAAAGGATTCCAGAGTTGTTTGCTTCTGAAGTTCGTTAATTAGCCTTAATTAGAGTATTGTTTATTACAGCTATCCCATGATTAGTAACTCGATGCCGTGTTTTTTTTCGTTATATTATCTGCGTTTATGAAATTCATTTTCAGATAATTAATTATTTCAGATTGCATTTAAATTCCACATATTTATTAAAACACGGAAAAATATAATATCGATATATTACATTTCTATAAAAATTAAACAAAAAGCAAATCTGCAATTATAATTAACTGTAATTGTATTTTCTGTGTATCCATGAATGTCAGGGTGACCTGATTCCCATTGTTCTGTCCACAATCACGTGCATATTCCAAAAATAACGTCACGCGCTTTTAATCACCCAAATACGCATGTGAGCGCTTCAGTTGATTTTTTTTATCCTACAATGGCGAATATAAACGTTTTAGAAAAAAATCTGGCAAATGGCAATATTGTCTGTCTATATCGATGACGTAACTGGTAAGTGTGAAGTGTCCTATTCCTAGTCACGTGACACACAAGTGATAAAAAAGAGTGAGGCTGTTTTTTTCCCCAGGTGTTTGCAATGTTTTAAGCCATTGTATTTGAACCATCTCTGTATAGAAGCAGGTGCCATCTATTCCAGTTTACCTTGCGTAAGTTCACTTAGCACATGAGGAGCTGTGTAAGAGTTCACTTTGAAGTTAGTGAACCGTGTTTGTGTTCATGTTATAGCTACTGAACCCAAGTTCACTTAACAGTTCGTGAACCGCGTTCCAGTTCACTTTTCACCAAGGATTCCCTTGAAAACGGATGACGCTGAAGGACGCCTGAAAGTTTCTTGGTAAAAATAAAATTACGCCATGGTGTAGCTTGGCACTGGCAATGTTTCTTCAAAATCGTTTTCCGGGTTGATGGTGTAGCTACCGGAAGTAGTCGTGTTGTCGTCGTCGTCTTGGCTCTTTGGCCGGCACGTCTTCGGGTTGGAGCCGTTACCATGGAAACCTGCAGCCCCGCGGAAGGTCGAGTCTGGGGGGAGGTTCATCTTCTGGGTCAGCTCCCAGGTTTTCAAATTCTGGGTCGTCAGGCCGGGCTGGAAGGTGACCTTTTTCCCGAGGGTCGGGTCTCCGCGCTCGGGGATATCCTCGGGGTAGTGCCCGGGCCCGGAGGGGGTGGACCAGTAGTGTTCGTTTCCTTTCAGGGGCGGCTTCTGCGAGAGGTGCGACGGAGAGGTCTGAGACAGGGGCTGGGGGCTGTAGGAGAAGTTCTGGCGGTTCTGTCGGAGCTTGTCCGTGATGGGTCTGCCCGCGTGACCTATCGTCTGCACGTCACGTCCGCCGTAGCCAGGTCTGTCCCGCCGGTCGGTGGAGCCGGGGAGGGTGCGGGGGGAGAAGGTCTCGAAGGCGATGACCTCACGGTCACCGTAATCAGGGTAGTCGGATCGCACGAAGCGCGAGTCCTTCAGCCCCGCCCCTGGGTTCTTGAAGATGATTCTAGACGTGTCTTCTGTGGAGGGATAAGGAAATCTAGATCAGGAACATTCTCGAACATATTCAACATAGAAGGTAATCTAGATCAGGAACATTCTCGAACATATTCAACATAGAAGGTAATCTAGATCAGGAACAATCTCGAACATATTCAACATAGAAGTTAGACATATAAACATTATAAACATATAAACATTATGTAAAGATGGTAATCTAGATCAGGAACAATCTTTCTAGAACATATTCAACATAGAAGTTAACCATATAAACAATATCATCATATAAAGATGGTTTGTGTTCACTATATGTAAAAAGATTTTCAAAATAAAATGTAACCACATATACAGTACCATCATGTAAAGATGGGTTTTGTTCTGTATTAGTAAACAAAAGTTGTCGATACAATTGATAACCGTAAACATCAAAATCCATTAAAATATTCATAAAATTAACAACAAATCTTTCATTTGCGTTAATTGCAATGCAATTAAACACGTCTATTAAATTGCTATATTCGAAAAAACATTAAAATAAATATTTCACATTGATAAAATCCTTTATGTGGTTGAGTTTTATATCAAAATAATTGTGCATCAACCTTGACTACAAATGTGCTGCACTTACGGAAGAATTTTAAAAATGACATTTTAGTAATAATTCTTAACAGAAATTTGATAATGCAAGTCCGTCTTGTCAATGAAGTAGAAAATAAATTGCATTAAAAATACAAGGAGCCTACAATTTGTAAGAATAAAATTAACTAAAATTTGGTATTTGAAGATAAAACGCGACCATCATTTCGTAACATTAATTGATAAAAGTTTTATTTTATTATTCTGTTCGTAAAAGCCTTTTAAGTTTCGTAATTGTAAATCAACCTTGAATTTGAATTGCTACATTTACAAATCGTTTTTTGAAAATGACATGATCTACACTGAAAGGAACCATAACTCCATACCCTACTAGGAATGAGTGAGACTAGGTCTTTGTCTACAAACTGTCCCCATCAATTTACGACATTTGCTCGCTAAAAGTTCGTATTCTCCAGTCTTCGCGTCAAAGAAATGAGTTCCCATCAGCCGCGTGGAAACGATGTGTCGAAAAGATCTTCCTTGATTCGCAACTATCCTAGGGGGAATGGGAAATTCCAGAGAAAATAGACAGAAAGACGGAACAGACAAGCTATTAGCCGGCGGAGCAACTGTGGCGAGGCGTAGGAACAAAAGCAATGATTAAAACCGGCTTTCAGACGCACAAATAACCGGACCCGGCTTTCAGGTTGATAAAAAAAAAAAAAACCACCCGACCAAACGACTTTCTAGTTTGATGCCCCCGAATAAGCGAGCGAATAGTTCCAATAAATTTTTAAACAATTCTTTTATAGTTCCCACTCAATTAGTTCCCGAGTTGTGTGTTTAAACAACTCATTAGAAACAAAAACCCAGTCCCCTGGTGAAGTCATTGAAAATAATTGTCGTCTTGTGTACGGCTTTAAAAAAAAAAGTTTAATCTTTCCAAGGAGCTGATTTGTTTTAAGTTTATGGCTTCTTTGCTTTTACTGCAGAATTGCGTGTTAAGGCTTTGTTTTATTTATTGGATAGTGAAAACGTTTTAATGCAATTTGATTTTCTAATCACACAGTTGTCGAATTTATGGTCGTGTATTTTAAAAGAGAAAAAATTGCGCAAATAGTTGCGCTAATTGGTGGTGTTTATATACATTTATAAAACAAAACTTAAAATATTTGTATAAACGCGCGGTTTCTATGTAAATAGAGCTTGGTAAATATTATATTAGTTGTTTAGGATTATTCGTTAAGCTTCGTAATTTTAATTAGCAATTAACCATTAAATCTGTAGAATGCATGTACAAATCTATACTGACCACTTAGCTCAGGCAAGGGAGGCAACTGTATGTCTTCCTCGCTTCCACCGCGCCCACTATCGCTTGTAGTCGTCTCCCCTGAAGTATCGCTATGATGATCGTCTGTTGGAGGTCGTAATGCACTCTGGGAATTCAAAAAACCAATTTACGGTTACACAGTTATAGCTGGTCCATGTTTTAAAAATGGGGAAAAAAGAGAAGGGTGGTGAGTTAAAAAAAAGGGGTAAAACGTAACTTTAAAAAAAAAAAGTATTAATACAAAAATAAAAAAAATAAAGAGAGAGAGAGAGAGAGAGAGAAAGAGAGAGAGAGAGAGAGAGAGAGAGAGAGAGAGAGAGAGAGAGAGAGAGAGAGAGAGAGAGAGAGAGAGAGAAAGAGAGAGAGAGAAAATGAGAAAAAAGGGAAAGTATAAGACGGACAAAAAGTAAACGACTCATGTGTCTTGGACTGAAGACCGTCCTCTATAATTACATTGATTAGCCCGTGTATCAGACGTAAGCGAAGTGGTCATTGCAACAACTGACCCATTCTTTCTTGTCACCCAGGTGTCAAATACCAGTCTTTGGTGACCGGGTTAGTACCTGGATGAAACGGGTTCAGACTCTATAACAGAGGACCGGGGGGGGGGGGGAGTCTAGTTAAATAGCCCCAGCAGAACACTAATTGTAATGTACTACACGTAGCAGTGATATCGTGCTACACGTAGCACTGAAGGTGTGCTCATATAGCAGCTACGATTCGCTATACAGAAAAGTATCTATGTGTTAAATACAGTAGTAATGATGTTCTTCACATAGCAGTAATGATGTGCTTTATATCGCAGTACGTAGCAGTGATTGTGTGCTACTTATAGCGGTAATTATTTGTTACATGTAGCAGTAATGATGTATTACACAGAACAGTAATTATGCGCTACGCATAGCAGTAATTATGTGCTACATATGGCAGTAATGATGTGCTACATATAGCAGTAATGATGTGCTACATATGGCAGTAATGATTAGTTACATGGTGGAAATGAAGTGCTACACAAAGTCCACTCAGAAAAAAAAACCCACCCATTTCCCAACATCGTGTAATACTATTTACCACCTTCAATTAAAACTCTACCCCCTCATGAAGTACAACCATCAAATACCTCCATCCACCCACTCCACAAAACCCTTTATGCGCCACCATTAACTCTCTTACCCAGTGTCCAAACTAAACCGGCCGCATTAAACCGTGAAAACCGGCAGAGCTAAAACAAAAACCGGCCCCCGGCAACAATCCACCGACAAGGCCTGTGCCGCACGGTTGATTGGTCTAGCGGTGAGCGTACGCTGTTCTGCCGGTTCGATAGCCGGGCAGGGTGTGAAAAACTTGGACCGTATCAATAGTCGTTCTAACGTGTGAAGGGACATTGAATTCTCATGCGACAACAATTAAAGGGGAGCCTTTTTTTTCGGCCAACTTCCTTTCATTGACTCAATCTGATGCGCGAGTGTGGGGGAAGGGGGGGGGGGGGGTTAAAGGAGAAGAGAGGCAGGGAGTGAGTGAGGGGAAAAAAAAGGAGGTATAAAAAGACCTTGAGAAAAGATCTAACGAGTGTTAAAAACAAGAGCAAGAATTTTGAACAGTTGATGCTATTTATAGAACCCAGGTGTGACGTAGATGTTACCCTAAAATCTCATTCCATTGGCTGAAACAAGATCCATTGAGCTTGAAACTAAGAATGAAGTAACGACAGCCAATGCAAGGAAGAATAAACAAATACAATTGTTTTTTATAAAATAAAAAAAAGTTAATCCCCTTCTGTTACTTAAAAGGATAAGCTTTGCAACTGTAAACTTATAACATAATCCAGGTTCAGCATTTAATACATAATAATTATATCGATTATTACATTTAAAACATGTTTCGATACTTATAGCTGATTTTTTCCATCTATTAATGATTTTTTTTAAATTTTCTAATTAAAACCTGCTTTTTTTAAAACCTATAAAGTATATACTACAGAAGTCTTGTAAAATTGTAATACAATATAGCAATACATTGATAATTTAAGTTTCGATCATGTCTAAGGTCATTGACCCCTGTAAAATATTCCCACGGATCTGTTCGAAGCTTTGATTTCGAATCCTTAATGAAGCGACCGGGTCGGTTTTTTAAAAAGAAAACTAACCCCGATCAAACGCAAAGAAGCGCCTAGTTCTCTGTGAAGGCCCCGGATCGTGCAAGTTTTTACGCCCGACCCGTCCAGCTCTGCACTCATTAACCTTGTCGGCTAAGACTTTTCACCCATTGTTTGACAGACTTTTCTTCCCATTGTCTGGGCAGACTTTTCTCCCATTGTGTGAGTTTCGAGATATGTGACACATCAGAAAGAATAAAATGTATTTTTTTTCTTCCCTAGGTTAATGAGTTCCTAATGAAATTGATTCTAATTTCCGGGGACAATAAAATTGAAATTTTCTACGGGCTCCGGAATCGAAGTTTGGCTGGAATAAGTTTTCGTTTCCGACGCTCCAGCGGGAAAACCCGATCTGCCCAGTGGGAATACCCGATGCTATCGTGTCTGGAAATGGTGGTTGAAATACTTAACGAAATTCTTTTAGTTGGTTCTTTTTTTTTAAGCCAGAAACTATCTCGTACTTTTGATCGTGCTTTTTTTTTTCTTGTGAACTTTATGAACTCTTCAAAAGTATTTAAACATAATCCACGACACGTCATCAAATTCCAGAGGCGTAGCGAGGGGGGGGGGGGACATATGTCCCCGGGCGCCGACCTTAGGGGGGGGGGGGCGCCAAAATGGGTTGGAAAAACAAACTGAAAGTTTGAGGTGGGTGCAAATCAAAAGTTCGAGTGGGGTGAAAATCGAAAGTTTCTCCCAGGGCGCCGGGAAGGGTCGCTACGCCTCTGTCAAATTCTTGTATCGGTATACACACCCTCCCACCGTTACACCAACACACCCCCTCCCGTCATTGTACCGACACACCCCTCCCAACACTGTACAGACACACCCCTCCCAACACTGTACCGACACACACACACACCCACCATCAGCAAAACAACCCACATCACCACCCCTCAATACATCGAACGCTTTCACTTTTATGACTGCATCAAAACAAACAAACGAATGGCCCGCGGCCTCGCCGCATGGCCAGACAACTGTGTTATGGCCGCACTAAACTTTGTAAAAGTGACGCCTGAGCGCATCCCCCTCCCCCCATCTTCCTACTTCTCCCTGGTCAAGCAACCGTGAAACTGATGCCCCCCCCCCCCTACTTCAAACAGCACAAACAAGCAGCCGTGACACAAGTATAATGTATTCCGCGGTGCTGACGCCCCCGCCCCCCCCCCCCCTAGTCAACAACATGAAGATGACACCACCTTCTACTCCGCCACTAACATACACAACCAACTGTTCTACCATCACAAACAATACATTTCACGGAGCAGACAACCCCCCCCCCCCCCAAACACACACCTCCCTCCGCCATGAAACCGACACCTCTCTACAAAACTGATAAATGTCCAGACATACATTTCACCCTCCTAGTGTATTCGCTGGGACTGACGCTCCCCTCCATTCAACCATGAAGTTAACATCCACCGCCCCACCCTCCGCTATGAAACCGACACATCCCTAACCAACTTCTGACTACACAAACATTCTACCCTAATAGAGTTTTAACTGGGACAGACGCCCCCCCCCCCCCCCACCCCCTATTCCACCATGAAACCAACACCCGATTCACAACTTCTGGCTGAATGTGCAGACAAACGTGCTACCCTCATAATGTATTCCATGGTAGTTGGTTCCCTACACCCACACACCCACCGTGAAATTGACACCCCCACCCGTCCTCCCCCACCCCTGATGCACTCGAATATCCCTTTTATCCGTTTCAAATATTGTCCACCGAAGCGTGAACCCATAAAGGTGAGTAGATTAGCGAGGTAGCAATCAATGATTTGTCGCGGTTGATTGCACGCGAGGTGCTGGCGACGAACTCATTGATTCGCCCTGGATGCAATCGATGTGGTCAAAAATAAAAATAAGGGTGAGTACGTAGTTCGGGACTTGACCGAAACTGTGAACGCGCAGGTGAGTTAAAAAAACAAAAAAAAAGTAATCTCATAGGATTAGTTACTCAATATCTGGTAAAACATTCTTACTTTAAATTCACATTTCAAAAAGTAACGCAATTTATTACAATATATCTCTACTAGCATTACTTATCAATCAGGGACGGTAAAACGTAAAATCTGTTATCAAGTATGTTGATGTAGCCCACGAGAGTTATTTCCCCTTCGCCAGGTAAAGGGCCATAACTGACACGTTCAACAGCACTTTCATCCTTTTTGTTACCTCCCTGTGCAGTTAACCCTTCCCCACTTCACAAAACCAGTTAATTGGAAAAGAGAATAAGTCGCCTATGTTCCAAAACTAGCCTGTAACATTCTGTAACGAGTTGTAACATTCTTACATAGCCCCGGGGACATAGTGTGAGGGAGTGAAAAACTAACGATTACCAATAATGTGAAATGTTTTTTATTTCACCCTGCTCAAGTTTCTACCATTGTTTTGCCCATTAGATTGAAGGGTGTAGCCTTTCAACTGAAAAATCCCATTTATAATCTACTATGAGAATTGTGAGAAACGAAAATATATTTTACATGTTTGTTTCTATTCGGAATTGTTACCGATTCTTATGAATAAAAAAAAAACGAGGCTATTCACGGTCAATACGATCATGATGTCTAAACATGTCTGTTTATCATCCGGTTTCGAATTCTCAACTTCCGCTCTCCATATTGACACGATTGATTCCTAACGATTTTCTTACTGCTTGAATGAAAAGCTGTATCTAGATTGAAAGAAATGAAAGTGAGATATACATACAATGTCAGTTATACTTGGTGTATGCGTGTTAGAATTACTACGTGCAAACACGTTTAGATTAAAGTTAGAAATCCAATACGTCGTTAGACATCGATTTTGCACTACTCAAATATTTCGAATACGAAATGGCTTTATTTCATTGAAATTGTTCTATTGAATATTGAAGTTAGATAGATTAAGATATGGACGGGATTGTAACTTCATTGAATTACGTTAATACCTTATTGACTCCA